GGGCGGGGGAGCGTGGTTGGGTTGTTTGGGGCTTTTGGTTTGCTTTTTTAGTCTGGAGCATTCTGCGTGTTTCTTCCCCAGTCCGAAGAGTGGCATTTCCTACATAGCTTCGTCGTACCTTCCTATCTAGTGCTGTCCCAGGCTTCGTTTCCTGCCTCAACTTTCTCTTCTCTTTTTTGTCTTAATTTTTTTTTTTTTTTAGCCAGTCGCCAAAGTCATGGGGAAATGTATATAAGAATAGCAACTGTCATGTTTCTTCTTAGAAAAGAAGAAAAAACAATCCCAGCAACTACAAGGTTTAAATCTCACCTCATTCAGAAGTTAGCTTTAGAGCAAAGTTGGGAGAGATGTTAAACGATAGGAAAACAAAACAAACAAACAAAACCGTGAAAATTGAAGATAATACAACATACGTTTTACCAAAACCAGATCAAGGCAGAGAGGAAGGACCTTATGGTTGGGATTGCTCTTGGTGGTTCTGCTTAGATGCCTCCATACAGAGCATGTGAGGGAGTGGAATGCAGTCTCTGTGGACAGATTCAACGTGCAGTTTGGCTGCCAAACTCTTATTTATGTTTATACTGAACAGTGTCTGAAAAAATGTGAGCTAAACATGGTAGATTTTTCATGGGAAGAGTAAAAAGTCCATTATTGGAACTGATGATACTTCCTAAGAAAACGTGCAGAAAAAGAATAAATCGTTTTTGATTAAAGTGCTTCAGCCTTTTTTTAATTTAAGAAAACAATTTATTTTCCAGCTTAATCCCAGGAAGCGATGAATTCTTTGTGTTGAAAATCTCAGCTCTTCTATGATTCAGTCTTGATGTAGACATCTAGAGTGGGAGTCAATGTGACTATGTTGTAAAGGTCTGAGGAGGGTTCTTCTAAAGTTGCTAGAATGTTAATGATGGATAAAACTTTGTATTTGCTTATGATATTCCTCTAACATTAATTATTAAAATATTTTTATTATGTGAAAATATGTTTCTGTGTTTTTGGCATTTAAAAATAAACATTGTAATTGCAAGTATTTTGCCTTTAATATAGCAAATTTATTTTACACATCAAATTCAGTGTCTACCTGTCTTGATAAATTCCACTTGAATTTTGAGGTTTGTCAGCATCAATTTTCGACAGAGCAAGTTATCTTGAGTCTTGACAAGGCCACTAAATTTATTAGGCTTTATCTCAGAAACCTATGTGTTGTCTTCATGCTTTGGTTTTTTTTATCTTCTAGCATGTTTCCCTTCAGGGAATCTCAGTATGTATAATGCATATAATTACCTTCAGAATGTATAAGTATGCCGGCAAGCTTACTTGCTTCAGGCATACAAAAGGATTGGAGTCAATAAGATTTAAAAAAAAGCCTTGTGATAAAAATGTGTATGGGGTATGTGGCTTCACTGTCATTCTGATGATTTAGAAAGTTGGGGGCTGATTATTCGTGTGGTGATCAGCTAAAGATAACAGGAGTGGGCTGTTTTGTAAAGTGGTCAGAGTATAATGAATGCAGTATTTATAGGTGAAGGTAGCTTACTAAACAACTGATAGAATTAAGAAGGAAAAAATAGAGCTTCTTGGCACTTGGGGTCCCTTTAGAAGGATTCATTGGGTCCTAAAATACCTAAAAATGTTAAGAAGCTGCAGACTGTGAGTGAGGAATACCTGCCTTGCTGGTGTATTATTGCGTGCTGCTTCACATGACACACGGGCTACGGAAGTGCCTGTGTGGCTCTGTGCGGTGGTTGGACTGATCCTTCAGTGTCTGTTTTTCTCTCAGGTAAGTTTGGCCAGAAACGTGAGGGGCCTCTGTAATTATTGGAAGAATTCAGCAAGAGCGCTTTCTGGAGACAAGAATTGGTACAAGATAAATTGCCCTGTGCAGAGGCTTAATTCCTGCCAAGAGTTCTTGAAGTGCTCCTGATGGCTGTCCCATACCTCTTCTACTGCTACCATGGAAAAAGGATTCTGTTGTAGCATAACCCATTTTTATCCATCCCTGTAAAGAAATAATACTAGGCACAGGTTAAAAAGACTTCTTCGTACTTCCTGGGATGTTGTGTTTACTTAGGCTCTTAACACTGCAAAACAAGCCAAAAATCTTAAAGACCTACCACAGAACTCTTTGTCTTTGAGACCAGGGTTAGAGCTTTGGTTACAGTCTGTAACAGTAGCAATCATGAGAAAACGAGATACAATCAGTGAGGTACATAAAGTATTACGCAGATACATGCAATTTACAGGAAGTACACAAATTTCAGGATTTATTGGTGTTAGCTGTGAAAATAAGGTAACATTTGCTCACTCTGTATTTATTTTTACTGATGAGCAGGACAAGCATCAATTCAGGAAAAGATAACTCTAGGAGGCAGTTGCTAAGTAATCCTAGCCAATCTACCTTACATCGGTTTGATGGACATACTTAGACCAAAACATGGAAGAAAACATCTCTAACTAAAACCCCAGTTGTACCTTAAAGGTGCTGTTTTTAAAATTATGTTTCTGTGAGAACAGAACAAGAATAACAATAACCAAAGATCTCTTGTCTTTTATTACATTGTAAGCTTGAATGAAGTGGGAAGCTTAAATTAAAAGAACATGAAATAGATTGCTATGTTTTTGCTGTAAATGGTCATGGAAAATAACTTTTTTTTTACTGGTTTATAATCTGTAGCTACTAGAAAAGATGAGCTGTTTACCCATGACAATACCTGTGCTTTATTTGCTCTGGCATCACCTGGACGCGTGATTTTATCATCATGATAGAATGCATCATAAGTAGTACCATAGGAGTGGCTCAACACGGTGTTGTAAAACTAAGCAGTAGGGAGAGGTGGCCTTCATTTCTGGGTAGGAGTGCGAAGGACGGGGTTCAGACCATCTTGTGCCATAATGACACATGGTGAGGGTGCCGAAGGGGGTTCGTCCTTCACTTGCCGAGTCCAAACCTAGCCCCTGGCAAACTCAGAAGATCAAAGTACTCTGTTACGAGCAATTTCTCACCCTCATGGTCCCTCTCCCACTAGTTTCAGAGACCTAGGCAAACGAAAGAGTATGTTCTATGGATGATTTGTAAATCCAGTGTGAAATTAAAGTGAGAGTAAATTACAAAGCACGCTCTCCCACAAAACGAAGACGTAGTTGAGGTGGCATTCTCAGCAGTGGTGGCAGCATGGGATGTAAAGGGAAATACTTTCTCTAGGGTCTGTGTTGTCTGAGGGGTTTTTTTAGGTGAAAACTAAACACTTTACATTTACAGAATGTGGCATAAGTCCTGAAATGCTGTCTGAATATGTTTTTGGCTGTCTACTCAGTTCATTGAATGTATTAAAAAAACCTGGATGGATTACTTAATTTATTAGTCTTTGTTTAAACTTCTACAGTACTGTAGTGTGTTTTTCTTGCATTATCAATCTCATTTTTTTCTGTTTGTACACTTCATACCATGTTACTAATGTATTTTCTTTTAATTTTCTTTTTAATAATAATAGAATATATGTGAATTTCAAACCCAATATGGCTCAGAAGAGGAACTCGAGTGGGCGGTCGTTCCCATTGCTGCTGCTGATTATTGTTGTGGCCTTTGTTCATTTAACTGTCTGTCCTTTTACAAAAGTGGAGGAAAGCTTTAACCTACAAGCTATCCATGATGTGGTGTACCACCAGCTGGATTTGGATAAGGTAAATTGGAAAGAAGGTGTTCTTTCTCGGACACTGTTAAAAGCTGTAATTCCCTGCTGTATGAGTAGGATAGATGCAATGTGAATATGATTTATCCCAGTTTTCCTTTGTTTCTGATTTGCCTGTCTTACTTAGATTTTCTTTTTTGCAGTATGACCATCATGAATTTCCTGGAGTTGTCCCAAGAACGTTTCTTGGACCAATTTTTATTGCTGCTCTTTCCAGCCCAGCTATATATGTACTTTCTGTGCTAAGAATGTCCAAGTTTTACTCCCAGCTGATAGGTATGAGAACTTTAACTCACCAGAATAGAGTTGTTTTTACTACTGGACTAAAGGGTGACATTTTTGTAACATTTAGTGTTTGGATCTGTGGTTAAAATGTGATATTTTTTTCCTTTATGAGGGATTTTGCAAACTGTAGGTACTTAAAGCCAGCATGGCAATTCCACCCCCTCTTTGGAGTAACTAACAGCACAGAGAAAGTCTGTGCGAAGAAAGGTCGGGCAGTGTAGAAAAAGCAAGTGTCTTCAGAGAATACACTCCCACGTGTACTTCCGTGTATGCTTCAGAAAATATTGTTTAACTTGGGCATTGACCTTTGTGCAAAAGTATCAGACAAGTTAAAGGTGGATTAAAATAGATAAACTAATGGGGAAGTTTTGTGGTGTTTTTTTTTTTCTTTGAAGTGGGTTATATTGTGATATCTTCAGTATTATTCTTCATAACTTCTTCCCATTATGTTATGTAACATGGTGGTTCATCAGTGACCCATCTGGTATTACTCATATTTCCCATTTTTGTTCTTCTGATAGTCCGAGGAAGCTTGGGGCTCAGTGTGATTTACACATTATGGAAGTTGCAGAAAGAAGTTAGAAAGCAGTTTGGAGCAACTACATCAACAGTCTTCTGTCTCATCACTGTTACTCAGTTTCATTTGATGTTTTACTGTACACGAACCCTTCCTAATGTGTTTGCACTTCCTTTTGGTAAGTGTTTGCATAGAAATAATTCTAAAATATAAAAATTCTTCTCAAACGTATCAGTACTTAAAGCACAGAAAATGTGTGGTCAAACCAAATTAATATATGTGCTTGATTAAATTGTGTAATAACAAGACTAGCAAACTTAGTCAGTTGTGATTTTTTTTTTTTTTACTGTATATGCTTACAATGAGTGTTGAATCAAGTTTTATTGAATCTGAGTATACATGGAGTTTTTCAGATGGCTTTGATTAACTAGAGGTTTGAGTACAGATATCTCATGCATAAAACATTGAGCTATTGAAAAGGCAGTAGGTACACCTGCAGTTCAAAAAAAAAAAAAATCTGTGAACTTAGTCTACACAGGAAACAGCTTTCTCGTGAGACTGTGGAATGAACTCCCACCACAACCGCTCCACCTTTCTCTTCTGGAGTAACCTACAAATATAGCAGTTTGCATACTTAAGGGGAAAAAAAAAAGTCGAAACCTTACTCTATGCATACAGTTTTTCCCCAGAGAGGATGAGAGGGAAGATTAACCACTTGTGACAGATACTAGCCGAGTCACTTAATGCTTCAGTGCAAGTTGTTCAACTAATAAAATCATGAGGTTGGTGTAAGAACCTGTGTAGATCAGAACTGAAAAACAAAACAAAAAGCAGTTGAGTTGTCAGATAAAAACACTGTGTAGTTTAGATAGTGTAGATAAAACACTACTCAGATAATTTTTGCAAGTATTAAAAGATTTAAACTGTAGAAAAAGTAGATGCAACTTTATCCATAGAGATACAGTGTGTCTCCAGCTAATGATGCAAATGGATTTCTAGTTCCTTCTCACTGAGCAGCAGTCTGTAGTCTCTTTTTCATATTTGAAATGGGGTGCTGTTATCATGAATACAGCGTATACTCAGCCAAGAGAACAAACTAACTCTTCAGCTGATACTGAGCGATAATAATTATGAATCTTAGTTTGAAAGGCTTTTAGTACTCCCTGAAGGTTTGGGTTTGTGGTTTTTTTTTTTTTTTTCCCAAAAGCTATTAAATATACTGTCTAGGAAGAGTTCCCATGTGTTCCTTCTATGGTTATACTTTTCCTGATTACTTAAGCATCAACAGTAGAAAGTCCTGTGTTACTCCAAATTACATTTCTCTAACAGAGGAAGAGTTTCTGGACTAGAAATGGTAGGAAGACCAAGAGAGGGTTGGTGAGAAGTTAGAGGAATGAGACGCTAGCCTTGAGAAAAGTGTTGCTCTGTAGAAAACTAATAGTTCAGTGTGTCAGATGGTGTGCTTGCTTTATTTTTGCAGTGCTCCTGGCATTGACGTTTTGGATACAGCAAAAGCAAAGGCCATTCATTTGGTTCTCAGCTTTGGCAATTATAGTCTTCAGATCAGAGCTGTGCATATTCTTGGGCCTCATGCTCCTGGTGACATTATTAACTAAAAGAATCTCCATTTTCAAGGTGCTTTCCCATGCTGTTCCTGCTGGATTTTTTTGGCTGGGTAAGTGTTTGCTTGAAAAAAAATGCCACATAGTATATTTAACTAATTAAAATAAATAAATTAATTTAAATAAATTTAAAGTCTGGACATTTGACTGACTTATCTGGTGACCTGGCCCTTAGGGGGTTTTGTGGGTTTTTTTGGTGGGTTTTTTTGTTTGCTTGTTTTTCTCATTCCATTTGCTAGTAATAGGGGCATTTATTTCTTTGAAAATTTCCGTGTGAGGAAATAGGTGTGCACAGAGCAGTAGAAAGATACTGTGATGCCCACTTTTAGATGCTTACAGTATAATGTCCTGGTCTTAAAAAGGCTTAGGCGTGCAAGTTGACTTTAGTATAACTAGTACATGTCTGTAGCTACACATGTGTTACCAGCTCTAGTACCTATTGCCAGGACAATAAGCTGAATCCCAGCATAAAATACAATAGTGTGACAGACGGGGATACTGAGCAAGAGGGTTGTTGGGAGAGTCGCAGTTCAGCTCTGTTCTTTATTACATTAATTTTAATAGCTTAAGTGATTATCGATGCTAGAGAGTTGAAAAATCTCCTTGTCTCTACCCATCCATGGAAGACTCATGCATATGCACATACATTAAGCTTCTCTGCCAGCCTACCTAATTAAGAATGCTGTTGTCAGATGCCTAATGATGACCTCTGGTAGTGTGCTGTTGCTTCCATGGCACGAACAGTAGAAACAATACAAGGTCATGCCATATGCACTTGGAGGCACCTCACAGCATAAGAGTTTGGAGGTCCAACAGGAATTAGTCGCTGGTACTGCCATTCCCTCTCTGGGCAAACTTCTTAAATGCCAGAGCAGTTTTCACAGAGCTGAGTGGAGGAGATGGGGCTGATGGATTTGCTGCTTTTCTGTCTTTTTGCCTCTCATCCCTTATCTTCCTCTTCCCTCCCATCTAATAAATAGCAGCAAACTTCTAGAGATTCTTTTTCTTAACTTACCATCTTCACAGTAAAAATCCATTTAGTACCATTTGAAGTTAACCTGGGCTTCTTACCATTCATTAAATTTAATGCTCTAATATTCTTTTAAAACAAACTTTAATTAAACCACTGCTTTTCACACCCGGGGTTGGAGTGGGGCAAATCTCAATCAGGTTCCTATCTAAATGTATTTCTATTAAGAAGTGCCTCCCTCCCCTCCATCTCCACTGCAAGACGGACAGATTCAACTTTCTCTGTGGCTGTGGATGAGGCTTGCGATGCATGTTCCAGTTTATGTTGATCTCATCAGTAAATGTGCAATTTGGATGTGCTAGTTTGCTTTTCCCTAGTTTGTAATTCATGCAAACTTGTATTTCTTGAATTCTTTTAGGGCTAACTGTTGCTGTGGATTCTCTATTTTGGAGGCAACTTGTGTGGCCTGAGGGGAAAGTGCTCTGGTATAATACAGTTTTGAACAAAAGTTCCAACTGGGGAGTATCCTTTGAAATGTCTAGGGAAAAAGGTCTATTGAACACTGCCAGCCAAAGCAAAGACTTGGTGTAACCAGTTCGTGAGACTCGGTTATGGTGTTAAATTCTACTTTTCATCTAGTATTTCATTATTTGAAGCTTGTGAGACAATGTCCACTTCTTAGATCTTTCTGTAAATTTTAACTTTCCTCTACTGGCTGTTCCTTCTTGCTTCTTTGTGTTCTACCAATGTAGAGCCAGGTTTCTTCCCCTTGGTTTTTCATGTTACCCATCATTAGCGACATTTTGATGCGCCTCTGTTTGGTGACCTGAATGGAGTTAGGCAACTGTGTTTATTTGTCAAAGGGTAAGGCAGAAAACCAAATGCCTGGAAGAATGTGATATATAAAAATTTGCATGTGCTACTGTAAAGAATAGTTACTTTACTTGTCAGCAGTGAAAAAAGCATCCTTAACTCTCCTTTTCACCTTGAAGACCTCCCCCTTCTTATGGTATTTCTATTCAGCCCTGCCTCGTGCTTTGGGATGCAGCATTATATTTGTACCTTTAGGTGTAGCAGAAAAGAGAACTCGGATACTACTTTTGCCAGCACTGGGCTTTATTTTCTTGTACTCATTTCTCCCACACAAAGAGCTGCGTTTCATCATATATACTTTCCCTGTCTTCAACATAGTGGCTGCTAAAATGTGTTCACGAATGTAAGTTCAAAGTCCTGTTTGGTTTTTTTCTCTGAAAAAGCAAAATAAAGCAAAACTATTATTGCCATTTTTATGCACTTGGAATATGGATCATTTTGAGGTCTTCATATGCTTTAGAAAGAAGGTCTGTATCGTTATACCCATTGGACTTATGAGAGAAATGGAGACAAAGAGAAGTTAAATGATTTGGCAGGACCATTTGGCAGAGTGGAGAATAGAGGCCTGATTTTACTGTTACGCTGTTACAATTTCTTTTATAAAAAA